GGAGTTCAATGTTTGCTTATTCTTCTTAAGTATGAAGCACCATTTTGCAATGGTAATCCTCTTAGTCCATGGCAAGGCCCAAAGTCGGTCCGGTACAAAATGGAGCATCATACCCCCTCAAAAAACTTCAAGGTATATAATTCTCTACTACCCACTTTGGCCACTGTAAAACAATCCAGAAATTTCCACTTCTGGAAAAGCGAGAAGGCATTTTGGAAAATGGTCCCTGGACCCTTGACTAGATATTCCCCAAGTTTCAGAAGAAGCACCATCAAGCCAGATAATGGGAAAACCAAAGGGGGAAAAAGGTGGGTTGCAAAGGAAATAAACAATTAACCAACTACATAAATTCAGTTCTTCATAATACCTCTGGTTTACAAATGTGGGATATTGAGCGTCTATATCACGATTCAAAAAGCCAGGAAATGACCCATTATTGCTGCATAATATTGTGCCCAGGTATTGTACATAGCAAGGGGCAGCCTGAATGTTTGACAACACCAATGTCAGAAGTCCAGATGGTCTCTACAGGATACCCTATCATTCACAAAGTGACACCACACAGGAGAAAATCCCCAAAGCTGACTCCCACCCCCATCAGTTAACCACATCTCACCCAAACATAAAGCAATTAATTGTCAGACTGTTTGTCAACAACTGCAGCAACAAGATGCCACCCAATATTTATTGTGCAGCAATAATAAAAGAAAGGTGATATACAGAATAATGTCCGTCCGTCCGTCCGTCCGTCCGTCCGTCCGTCCATCTATCTATCTATCTATCTATCTATCTATCTATCTATCTATCTATCTATCTGGATGGGGAAAATCATTAAGGGCACTATGTTCCCAAGGAGAACATGACCTCTATTTTAAAATTCATCATAAATAGCTTTAGGGGAGGGGCTCCACATGAAAATGGGAAGGGGAGAGTAGAAATTGAGGAGAGCTGATAAGAATGTTATATAAGGTGAATGATTTTACAGCAGTTGGATTTTTAAAAAATTTTTTTGATAAGACTGACTTCTGCCTTGCTACTTCATGTCACCCCAAAGGACGGAAAGCTACCGATGATCAAGCCACCCAAATACTGGATTTATTTCCTGACAGCATTGTAGTTAACAATTCATTGAGCTGTATAATATATTTAACAATATGAATTACTAACAAAAAAAATTAATGCAGTTCCCATCAGATTTTAAAAACACATTCCTCAATATACAAATGGAGCCAAACGGGACTAATTTATTTTAAATTATTAAAGATCTCAACTGCTTTTATATTGGTTTTCTCTGTAGTGGCAACCCACAGTTTGGAATTCCCTCCACACTTCTGAAATTTATATATCCATTGAACCCTTCTTCGGGGAAAACACTTAACATCCAGCATGACACAGGCAGGGAAAAAGGTGTTGTTGATCAAAATGGAAAAGCCTGCCAAATCTGGAGGGCCCCAGGTTTCTCCTTCAAGCTCCAGTGATCCAAAAGCACACCACAGGATAAGAGAACATGGTGCCCTTTAGATGTTTTGGATTATAACTCCTGTAATCCCTGGACATTCGCATGATGGGTAAGTTTATGTGAATTGCATTCTGAAAACACAGAGAAAGAGTGGGGAGGGAAAGCTCTTGACACATGAAAAGAGAGAAAAATCGTATCAGATTCAGGATAAAGGACAGATGGTTCTACAGAGAATATCAGACATGTGATATTTAGATGCCCAGTTTGACGCGTCTAATGTTTCTTTCTCATTGAAAATCGCTTCTGGCTTGAAAAGTGTGAAGAAACACCAATGAGATTTACAAGAGAATCAGCAAGTTTTTGTTTTTCATCGAATCAATATGTCAGATTCAGTGCAAGATGCAGAGTGAGTGAGAGAGGGAAAGAGAGAGAGCACAAGCTCATTAAAACTTGAAGACATCCATATATTTTTGCTTTATGTTAGAACAAAAGCTCTTTAGAACTAGATATATGAGCATATTGAACCTCAGGGAAATATCCTTGTCAGAAAAGTGACAGGACGACTTCTATTAAGAAATATGTTTCAAAAACAATATTTTGCCCCTTCTCCACCTTGCCTATGTTGCAGTTCTGTTTCTACAGATCTCTGCCTTGAAAAGATAGAAATGAAACATTCTACAGACAAATGCCACACACTGTTATTGGTCGGTACAATGCACAGTCCAATTAAGCACATTTGATTGATTTCATCAGTAGTTTCCAACCTTGGCTCCCCAGATGTTCTTGGACTACAACTCCCAGGAAATGCTGACCAGTACAGACAGCAGTGAAGGCTTCTAGGGACCCAGGGCTAGAAAGTGTGGGGTGTAAGGGCAGGTGAGGCAAGATATCCTCCATGGATTTCCCCCCGAGCTACAAGGGGTTAAGGCTAGGCTGGCTGCGGGGTTCTGGAGAAAGTAGCGTAAATCAGTAAGTCTTCTCTACTCTGGCCTCCACCCTCTGCTGTTGCTGCCACCCACTGTCCTTCCTGTCTGGATCCAATCCACAAATGTGCCTGGACCACATGAAAGAGGTGTCCCCCAGCCCCCTTTAGACTTCTCTTCCTTTCTTCCAAAATAAGCAGTCGTGTTAGGTAAAGGTAAAGGTTCCCCTCGACAATTTTTGTCCAGTCGTGTTCGACTCTAGGGGGCGGTGCTCATCCCTGTTTCCAAGCCATAGAGCCAGCGTTTTCTCCGAAGACAATATTCCGTGGTCACATGGCCAGTGTGACTTAGACACGGAAGGCTGTTACCTTCCCACCGAGGTGGTCCCTATTTATCTACTTGCATTTGCATGCTTTCCAACCGCTAGGTTGGCGGGAGCTGGGACAAGCAATGGGCGCTCACTCCGTCACGTGGATTCGATCTTACTACTGCTGGTCTCCTGACCCTGCAGCACAGAGGCTTCTGCGGTTTAGCCCACAGCGCCACCACGTCCACAAGCAGTCGTGTTACCGTGCCATAAAAATGTCACAATCATAAATTTAATATCGATAAATTCATATTAATTTTCAACTTCCACTGATTGTACCTGTTGACTATTGGTCTCACGCTGGCATTTAGCCTTAGATGCGTTTGTAAGCAACCCGGTTCCAAGGAGACCTGGAATGAGTCAAAGAGGGCATAGAGCCATTAAGAAGGCCCCTGGTAGGTCTGAGGCTAGCGGTGGCCCCTGCCCTGCCCTGCCAAGACTGGTCGCAGCTGGGCAGATTGGGAAGGCAGAGTGGTAACAGCCATCTATGGCTTCAGGTTTATTTCTTATCTATCTCGCACAGATGGACATACATTAGTGACATATAATGGTCCTTTACAATTCAAGATGAGGAAATTGTTTTTTGTTGTCCTGCCCTATTTCTATTATTTCCTCATAAAATTACATGTCATAAGACTTCTATCATATCTTTCTTTAAAAAAAATTATATGGAATAAATGAGATTAATAAATCAATTCACAATCTAACAAACCAATTTATACCTCACCTTTCTTCTCAAAGCAGCTAGCAATAAACCAAATAAGAATAAGTTCATTTTAAAAACGTAATTTAAAAGAATTACTAAGCAATTTGAAACATATTGCCTCTTCAGAGGACAGGAGTGCTACAGAGACTGGCAAAACGTTAGGAAGAATCTTCAGAACACGGCCAAAGTGCCCGAAAAACCCACAACAACCAATTTAAAATAAATCATTATGGAACAAAGTAAAGAAAAGGCAATGTCCCTTTTACCCAACTTGACTTCTAAAAGGCCTAACCAATCATATAGTGTAGGGTGAAATCCTGCCGCTGTAAATGACACTGTGTAAGGCTGATGACACCATCAGCTGCAGAGATTTTTTTTGGAAATAAAACATTTTCAGTTTCTTATCCCAAGGTTTCTTCCCCAAGGCTGCTGTGAAACAGATTTCATTTTTGGGAAGCCATTGGAGGCTGCAGGATGGGACAGGGAGGTTTTTAGCTAAAGCTGCTGTTGCTGTGTTAGTTTTACTGGTGGTGGATATATTTTTCACTCAGAGTTCCCCAATGGTTTCCTGATGATGAAAGGAATTCCATAGGAGTCTCAGAGGAGAAATCAGAAATGTTTCATTTTCAAAAAATCACTGTGGCTGGTTTATGTTTATGATGTTCACGGCTTTGACTACTTTTTGGGGGGGAAAGCAGTGAAACAAATAATTGATTATTCTTTTATTACAAAACCAATGGGTGGTGTAACTAGAAAAGCTAATGGCTATATGCTAACTGAATTCTTAAAATTCAGGTTACCACAGTGTTGTCCAAAAGATAGCCACATTTTTCCCTCTTTCATTTTGTCTATAAAATATATAAAACTGGTACAAAAATAGTCCAATTACCCTTAAAAGGAAAAAAAGAATGTGATTTTATTTCTCTAAAAACATGCAACCCTTTTAAATATATTAGAGTACAGTGGTGCCTTGCTTGACGAAGATAATCCGTTCCAGCAAAATCGCTGTACAACGAAATCGTCGTCAAGCGAAAGTAAAAATCCCATTGAAATACATCGCAAACCGGTTCAATGCGTTCCAATGGGCGAAATACCTCAGCATCCAGCAAAGATCCTCCATAGGATGGCCATTTTCCGGTGCCTGTAATGCGAGGAATCCGTCCTAAAACACAGCGGGGAGCCATTTTGCACAGCGGATGGCCATTTTGAAGACCCGACGATCAGCTGTAAAGATCGTTCTAAAGCTAAAAATTGGTTCCCGAAGCAGGGAACCGATCGTTGTAAAGTGGTTTTTCCTTATTAAAACATCATTTTGCGATCGCAAAAACTTCATCGGAAAGTGATTTCCTCGTCTAACAAGGTAATCATCAAGCGGGGCACCACTGTATTCTTACTAACACGCATGGACACTCTTTATCACATCCACACACTGGATTGTGAAGATTCCATAGCAGCCACTGCAACACATTCTGAGGGCAATGCAAGACAGATAAATATCATTCAGTGTCTATGGCTAAAGGTAGCTATCTTTTGAGAGTTACTTACATAAAAAAGGGCACCAGCTGAATAAGAGTCTCTTTTTTGGGATTAGCAGTGAATTCTGGCAGAGTCTGGATGACTTTATTCATAACATTTCTTAAGTAATTCTGTAACTGTTTCCGTCGTTCCTCTACGAACTTGGCATCCTAAGAGAATAAATAAAAAGAAACCAGAACATTAGCACAGAATTTGATTTTCATGTCAAGCAAAACCACTAACTGTTCTTACTGGTCTCATGAATCTCTCTGTGTGTGTTTGTTTAAAGGTCCCATCAGGGCAAAAGTACAGCTCAGATTTGGGGGAAAGTCAGTCGTTTTGCACCACAATCTCAAGAATTTCCCAGCCAGCATGGCTTGTACTTTTTGAACTCTGGAGTTAATTATGGTCCAAAACACTAACTTTCCCAAGTTCTGCTACAGCTGAAGTGCACAATGTACAATGCATTGCAGAGAGGTTTTGAAAATCCCCATACCAATGCAATAGCAAAACAGTTGCCCTTTCATATAACCCAGGCAGAAAAATGTGGGACCTCCTAGAAGACCTGGACTACAGTTGCCATCAGCCCTAGCCAGCCTACCAAGGGGGGGTGGGAAGAGGACATTCCAATAATATCTGGAAGGCCACACATTTTCAATCCCTGATACAACCTGAGCATTGTGTAGTGATCACAAAAATGAATGAATTATATTTATATTTCATTTCTTCAAATGAACCTAAGGTAGCATATCTGGCTTTACTCCCAACAGCCCTCTGAGGTAGGTTAATTTGAGACAGTACTCAAGATTATCAAGTGAATTTTATGCCTCACTGGAAATCTGAACTTGGATTTCCAAAGTCCTTTTAAGACAGGGTGGGGGACCTTCTCAGTGGTTACCTGTACGTGGTAGATGGTGTCCCTGTTCACACAATCCACGGGTACATGTATATGGGCCCAAACATTTATCCACATATATGAGCCCCATTCACACCCATTCACATATCAGTGTAAACCCAGGGTAAGGAATATATTCCAGCCCTAGAGTTTATTTATTTGAAATATTTTAACCTCAAGTTTCTCCTTCAAAAGGACCCAAGGCAACTGACATTATATAAAAGACAATATATAAAAGCTAAAAACAGTAAGTACAAAGACAAATATTCTATTAAATAAAATAAATACTAAAAACACATTTAAAAGGAACAAGGCACAGCATTCCATTAAATAAAAAAACGTCTCAGAGAGCTGGTCACTAGGGGAACACCTGTCTGAAGAGGAAGATCTTCATACGCTTGATGAAGAACAATAAAAAGATGGGGCCAGCTTGGCCTCTTGTGGGAGGGAGTTCCAGAGTTCTGAAGCAGTGACACAAAAGGGCCTCTCCTGTGTCCCCATCAAATGGACCTGTGGTGGTAGCAGGACTGAGAGAAAGACCTCTCCCGATGATCTTGACTGTTGGGCTGGCTCATAAAGGTAAATGAAGCCCTCAAGTTTCATTGACTCTTAGAAACCCTTCCAGAAGACATCATCCAGGGATTCTGTACCAGCATGTGTGACTCCAGATTCGGGGAAAGAGTGCAGATTCTCTTGAAATGAACATGGCTGGGGCAAGAAATTAGGCCTTTCATGTCCTCCCACATCTTAAAAATGGGTTTAACACCTCCCAATATTGTTTTCTTATGAAACAAGAAATCAAGCTAAGGATTACATTTACATCTGCACAAACTGGTGCACCACAACTTCCTTGAGTCTGTTCCAATTCAGCTCCTAATGTTTCACTCAGCAACACAATAGGAGGAAAACATCTGGATCGGAGCCCAGAATGGAAAATATCAAAAAGCCTTTTGTAATCACTTAATGAACTTCTAGTGGTTCATAATCCTGCTATGTTTGCTAAAGCTTTTTTTCAACGATACAATTACCATTTAGCAACTGTCTACAACTTGTGTCCCCTTCTCTTCCAATCCAAAAAGAAGCCTTGAGTTTCAATCCTAATGTTTCACTCAGCAACACAATAGGAGGAAAACATCTGGATCGGAGCCCAGAATGGAAAATATCAAAAAGCCTTTTGTAATCACTTAATGAACTTCTAGTGGTTCATAATCCTGCTATGTTTGCTAAAGCTTTTTTCAAGGATACAATTACCATTTAGGCAACTGTCTACAACTTGTGTCCCCTCTCTTCCAAAAAGAAGCAAAAGAAGCCTTGCGTTTCAAAGGAAGGCAAAATTGGGGGGGGGGGAGAGGCATGAAGACTGCTTGATGATTCTTTATTTGAAAAGACAGGACATAATATTCTAAGATGCAACTAAGATGCAAGTCATCTCTATTGGTTAGGATCACTGTCAGAAAGGCACAGATTCCTCCTCATTGTCCCTCCTTGACAGTGGCTAGACTTTATGATCCATAAAGGGTCTGCAGTTGTAAGATATTGTTAATTTTAAGAGCTTTCACTCAAAAAGAAGATTGTACTGTAATTTTATACATTTTAAGGTCACACCAGATCACACCACAAATCTCAGGGGTTTGACTGGTTGTACTGTAATTTTATACATTTTAAGGTCCCACCAGATCACACTACAAATCTCAGGGGTTTGACTGGTTCTTTGCTATTACAAAACACCATAATGGGAAAGAAAAAGGGAGGTCTAGAATTGATAGATATTGGGGGGGGGGATTTACCATGTCAATAAAGACCATCTATACCAAAGAAAAAGCTAAAATCAAAATTAATTAACAGGCCGTTTTTGTTCCATTTTGGTTTTTTTCTGGTCTGTAAGTCAAATCTCAGTCTGCAAGTCAAACCTAAATTTTGCGGCCAGAGAAGTCTGTAACTCAAAAAGTCTGTAAGTCAAGCCGTCTGTAAGTCAAGGGTCCACTGTATTACAAAACACCATAATGGAAAAGAAAAAGGGAGGTCTAGAATTGATAGATATTGGGGGGGATTTACCATGTCAATAAAGACCATCTATACCAAAGAAAAAGCTAAAATCAAAATAAATGGAGATTTTACAAAAGACATTCAAATACAGAAAGGGACAAGACAGGGCTGTCCATTATCTCCATCATCATTTATACTCTCAATGAGCAAATTAGGAAAAATAAAAACTTAAGAGGGGTGAAAATAAAGGGAGAAGAATATAAATTACAGGCATTTGTCAATGGTTTAATTTTTATTCTGGAAGAACCCAATAAATCTAATGATGAGCTGATGGAAATATTAATGAATTTTGGGGAAATGGCGGGAATGAAAGTGAACTGGCAGAAAACAAACATTCTAGGCAAAAGTATTTGAAACAACAAGATTCATAAATTGATAGACATGACAGGCTTCCAAAAGGAAAAAAAGAGTTAAATATTTGGGAATCCAAATGACAAATAAGACAAGCACATTAACAAAGTACAACTACATGAAACTTTTTAAAGGAGATACAGAGAGATTTGGAAAAGTGGAATAAGCTACAACTCTCATTGATGGGAAGAATAGCGATAATCAAAATGAATGTGCTAACTAAACTGATCTTTCTTTGCCAGGCAATACCAAGGACATGGCGGGAATGAAAGTGAACTGGCAGAAAACAAACATTCTAGGCAAAAGTATTTGAAACAACAAGATTCATAAATTGATAGACATGACAGGCTTCCAAAAGGAAAAAAAGAGTTAAATATTTGGGAATCCAAATGACAAATAAGACAAGCACATTAACAAAGTACAACTACATGAAACTTTTTAAAGGAGATACAGAGAGATTTGGAAAAGTGGAATAAGCTACAACTCTCATTGATGGGAAGAATAGCGATAATCAAAAATGTGCTACCTAAACTGATCTTTCTTTGCTAGGTAATACGAAGGACGTTAAAGCAAACACTTCTTCAGGTCTCTAACAAAAAAAAATAATGAAATTTGTTTGGCAAGGAAAAAACCTGAGGATTAAAGTAAAAGCACTACAAAACTCTAAAAGGGCGGGTTTTGGTCTCCTAGATTGGAATATCTACTATAGGGCCTATGTACTGGCCTGGATTAAAGAATGGATTAATTTGGATAACGAGAGATTGCTTAAACTGGAAGGACGTGACCTTAGCCTGGGGTGGTATGCTTTTGTATGGTATAAAAAAGTTTAAATACCATAAAGTCTTCAATAATCATATGATAGGAAAGTACTGTATTTGTTATGGATTTGGAACAGACACAAAAACAAATGTATAGCAGAATTCCGAGGTGGGTGTCGTCATTAGAAGCATTTATACAGCCAGTCTTAATGGACTCAACAAAATGTCTGAGGTATAGAGACTTGCTTTAGAAAATCTAGAGGAGCAAGAGGAGCAGAAAGTCTTTATAGATTGGTGGAGAATCTATAAAGACTCAAGATATGTTAAATTTGTATTTTAAATCATATTTTGTTTAATTTATCTTTTAATATTTAACTTATTGTGTTTTTAAATTGTGTGATTTTTAAGGTTGGGTGAGCTGCTTTGGGTCCCTTGCTGGGACAAATGTGGCATCATCATCATCATCATCTATGTATATGTATCACAGAATAATAAATGGAGGGCACTACATATGTATAATGTATGTGCAACCAGTACTCTTCCTGAGGTAACCTGACTCCTCCTGCCAAAAAAGGCACAAAATATAGCAATAACCATTGTTCAGCCTCTCAACAGATTTAGTTACATTTTTATAGAGTAATTGCAATTGCAAGTTCAACATCATTTATTATCTAGGCTGTGGAGAGGTGCAAGAGAAGCAATATATTGACATTTTATGCCAGTGTGCATACACTTTACATGCAGGAGTGTCAAGATGAATCTTTCCCATTTCAGAGGTGGGTTTTCAAAAGAAAATGATTGAAAGCTGGCAAACTCCAGCGCATTGCCTGTGCATGCACATTAATAATAAAAGGCATCTTTAGACTTTCCAAAAAGCAAAATCAGAAGGGACAAATGATAAAATAGTTACAAGAATATATGAATATCTCTTAAATATGAAAATGAAAGATAAAGTGGTGAAAGACTAAGATAAAATGGGCACAAAATATTGGTCATAATATTCATTTAGAACATTGGACACAAATTTGGAAGAATAATATTACAAAATCATAGAAAATGTCAAAGAAAAAAATATATAACATGTTTTATAGATGGCATATGACTCCAGCTAAACTGTCTA